CATCCATCCAAGCAGAAGCTGCTAAATTTTTTGGCAATTCAATTGATGGAACGAACAGCCACGCCGCCCCGCCCCGCCCCCCAAGGCGTTTGCTTTTAAATGCTCTGTACGCCACTTGGCTTCTGCTTCCTGTTCCGCGAGCGAACTCCCCCTGCCACAGCCGCTGCCACACAGCTACTCCTGGTGCTGCCCCAGCTCCTTCTATCAGTACTGCCACTGCCACTTCTTGTGCCACCTCCGGCTACCTCTGCTGCTGCTGCTGCTGCTCTCTCGCTCTCATGGAGAGATGCGTGGTTTATTAGCTGATCCCTTCGTCTTGACAAGCTACTTTTGACACGCCCCCATCACCCCACGGCCCACAACAAATACAGGAAGTCTTAGGCGGTAATTTACTTTTCAGCGCTTCACTCGGCAAATTATGCAAGACTCTCCCCACCACCAGATCCTGCCTCATGCCCCAGCCACAGACCCAGCAGTGTCTGCCCTGAATTATGGTGGCAGCTTAAAGTTTCCTTTCGCTCTGCTCTCTGCTCTCTGCTCTTTGGTCTCTGGCATGTTGGAAAGAGCATTAGAAGTTGTTCAAGTGCTTTGCGAATTCTTTTGGCTTTGGATTTATTTTGCTATGAAAATTTAAATTATGAAAAAATAAATAAAAATTTAAAATCTGAATGGAAGTAAATCCAACAAATATAAGCAGGTGGGAAAAGGGCAGGATTATATGAGGGGTTAAGGGGTTGATTTCTAAAGGAAATGAAAGATGTACGAGTGCTCGTATTACAACATTTTCCAATATATTTTTACAGTGCTTTTGCCCTGGAAGAAATGAAATGAAATCTAAAGAACATTTTATGAATTATTTTAGGCTTTTTAGCAAATATTTTCTACTTCTTTTGGCTATGAAAAACACACAAAAAATACCCAGAATACGAATAGCAAACAGCAAATAGCAAAATCAGAGCATTAGATAAATATGTGGCAAACTCTCTTCCATTGCGTTACCATTGAACATTCAATAAATTATTCAATTCAGCAGTTTCGCCCTTTTGTGCCTTAACTTTCATTCAATTATGGCCATAAATACCAATAAATATCTCTGTTAACCCAGCTAAAATCCACAACAATTTAGAAATCTGCTCATACTCGTTAAACCCCTCATAACCATCAAAAATCTATCCCCAGAATAGACCAAAAGCCCAGCCCAGCCCAGCCATCTGATGTCGTGTCTCGTTTTCTGTATCGCAGCAATTGCAGTTTTAACCTTTTGGAGTGGCCACAGTTCTAGCCGCACCACCACCGTTCTCCGTTCTCCGTTCACCCTTGATGGCCCCTTTCACTTTGCTTTAGCTATTACTTTCACTTTTACTTTCTCCTTTTTTTCCAACGCCACTCCCGCCCCCCTCAAAGACGCCGTGTCACCTTTTTGGCAGTCAGTCGAAGAGAACTCATAATCAGGACACGTGCTGCCGTTCATTGTTTCGTTTCGTTTCTTTCATTTACTTTTAGCCGTGAAATTTCCCCCTCTGCTACTCGCATTTCCCACTGCTCTTTCTTCCTGCTTTTCCAACCTTCTGCCTTTCAAATTGTCAAAGTTTTTCCCGTGGCAGTGACAGTGGCAGGGGGTGCCTGCTCCTTTCCTAACTACTTTCTTTGCTGCTGCCGCTGCTGCTGCTTTTACTTTCCGCTTTTGGCTTTTATGGGATGCTTTTTATTTAGTCAATGACTTTGACGTCGTCGACAACTTTAATCGAATACAATATCAGCTGCAGACCCTCAGTCAGAGGTGAGGAATGCCCCGCACCGCACTCCCCCACCCTGCTGAACGCTTTGAGGTGTGCACGCGCACGCGTTTCGCTTAATGCCGCGTAAATTGTTTCGCAGCGAAGCCCCCAAAAACTTTTGCACATTTCTCGCGTTTATCCGAACATTTACATATTAACCCGTAAACTGGTAGAAGAAGAAGAAGCCCCGCTGCTACTAGAGAGCTGAGAGTTTACCCGGGAGAGAGCTTAGCTTGGGTCCAAAAATAGTTTTCAATTAGTGTGTGTTTCTGCTGGGAACTGGCGGCCACCCTTCTGGTAGGGGGAGGGCGTAAAACTTTTCTGCTTTGCTCAGCCCAAAAATTATGCGCATTTTTATTGGTACACACAATTTGTGTTTATCTCTGGGCCAAAAGAAGTTATTGGCCAAATTATAACCCAAAACGGGAGAGAGAGAAAACTTGTTATTGTTTTGCAGTATCCGCTTGAATTTTATTTTTCTTCTTTTAAGTAATATTCGGCCAGCTATTCCATAGATTCCTTCCACGAATCAGTGGTATTTATTTTATATTTTGTTGCTTCTTTTAAGTAATATTCGACCAGCTATTCCCTAGATTCCTTCCACGAATCAGTGGCATTTATTTTATATTTTTTTATGTTTTATTGCTGCCTTTCTGTTGTGTACCTTTTTGTGGGTATAAATCTCAGAAATATTAAGTAAAGACACACACACACACACATGTGGCAGCGGCAGTGGCAGTGGCAGTACATTTCGCATCTAAATTTGAATTTATCGCCTGCCCCGAGCATTAGTGGAACGCTAGAAAGGAGAGGAGGAGGAGCAGCAGCAGCAGCAGGAGCAGCAGGAACGGATACTGGCGAGGCTTAACTGCTGTGGAGCCTTCTGGATGAAATAGGACTAAAAGTTAAATGGAAATCTATGGCTTTGCGGCTTTACAAGGCCAAGGGGATTGTAGGCCAAAACGGGTTGCCTGCTGGAAAATGGCAAAGGAAAAGCATAATATTATAAGCTGCAGCAACGGCAGCAGCAGGTGAGGTGTGGGGAAATATGTATGCATGAAAAAGGCAGCTGAAATATGATGTAAAATGAAAGTCTAATAAAAAAGATGCCAAAGAATGGAAAAGAATGGAAAAGACAGAATGAAAATATGGATTAGCTGAGTGAAAAACTAGATTTTCCGGAAAAGAAAATAAAACGGGAGATAAAGACAAGAAAAAGAACAATTTTAAAATAGAAATAAAAAACAAGACAAACGGAATTAAGATCTAAAGAAAGAGATAAATAAAGCTCAATGCCTAAGAAAGAAAGTGCACTACGAAAAGAAGGACTTAGCAAGCCCAGAATGAAGGAGTGGCTCCCAGAAAAAAAAGGAACCTTAGGGAATGAAGGAGTAGACGAAGGATAAACTAGCTAAGTATAAGAGAAGTATAAGAATGGAATTTGAAATCACAGAAAGAAAGACTGAGGTGGAAATAGGAGCAAGCCAGAGTAAAACGAGTTAAAAGGGGAAAAGAGAGAAAGAGAGCGAGTTCGAACCTTGTTTTCTATAAAGTTCCTTTGACATCTGATTGGTGTGGCAAAATCACTCAGAAATCCTCCACAAATGTCAGAGAGCATCACAAAAGAACACAAAACATCACACACACACACACACACACAAAAAACCCAATTGCAGCCTTGTTAGACGTCAAACAAAAGAAACGAAACCAAACGAAAAACGCAACTCTAAGCGCAACTGTACTTCCTGTAACACATCTTGAGGGAAACACTGAGAGAAATACGAGTGTATGTGCAGTAAAGAAATATATTTAGCTATGTATTGTCTTTCGGTATGAGCAACAGCAATGGAAGAATGTCAATGTACGATTGATGTATTCGCACTGTCAGCTGGGCAGCTCAAGGATGTGTTTACGCAGCCTGGGCCTTAAACAGGGCGTAACTATATCCTGGAGACAACAGCACAGCAGTTGGGTGTCGGGTGGGGGTCCTTGCCAACGGGCCGGCCGCCGTCTTCCGTCTTCCTTCATTTTGGGAAGACCTCCTCCCTTCTGGAAGAGATCAGGTGATCAATCTGCAGTGCATCTGGGTGCATCAGTGGAAGCAGCGATCCTCGATAGTCGTCACTTCAGGGTACGCCTCCAAGTGCTGGGAGACAAATCAGCAGCTGGATTTGGGTTGCAGGGATTGCCCGACCGATACCTGCTGCAATGGCTGCCATAGTTTGTAGTCTTCTTGGTAGTTGCTGCCACTCTTCAGTGGCTGCTGTGGCATGCAGTTGCCTCCAGGCTCTTCTGGCGGTCGGCCTCTGTGAGTCTGATCGTTGGAGAACATTTTTACTCCGATGTTTGCTCCACAAACTCCCAAAACAGACTGAAATTCTGGAATAGATTTCTAGGCGACATTTCCCTTAATTCGATGACTAGATCCAAGATTTTCCATTACCCAGATTTCCCCTTTTTTTGTGGTTTTTTTTCCCAGTGTAGTTTTCTTCTTGTTTTCTGACGCCTGTCCTGCCGCCGCACACACACAAAAAGTGATGGAGTTGCTGTAGCCCGCATTTCGAGGCTAAATGTCGAAAACTTTCACGGGGAAAACTTACTAACGCCCCGGCAAACCCTCCCCCTCCCGCCACCACCACTAAAACCTCAATCCCACGATTTGTGGAACAATGAACACTTTTTTGTTGTTGTTGTTGTTGTTTTGATTAGAAAAAACGCCAAGCCCGCGTCAGGTAATCGTCTGCGGGTGCTGTTGCCTGCCACAAAAGCGGGTTCTGCTACTGCTACTGTGGAAATTGAACTTCAAGTGTGGCATCAGATGTTGGTGTGGGTGTGGATGGGCTGTGGGTGGGTGTGCCTCTACACTGATGAAAATCAAATAAATAAAAAACTAAACCACAAGATGACGTCGTTGCCATGACGAATGTGGGCGGCGGATCGTTTTGTTAATTCGATAAATCTATGGCCATCGAAGGCAGAGAAAAACGCAAAGGCGAGCGAGCGAGGTTTTCAGTAGCTGCAAAGCGTTCGACCAGAGCGGGGCTAAGACCCAGTGGGAGAGAGAGGAGAGAAAGAAAGCAGCACACTTTTCCCCCTGTGTTTGTGTGTGTGTTCATTCGTGTGTATCTTTGTGTGTTTGTTATTATTGATGGGTTCACTTTAACATTGCAGCAGCAGCAGCAGTCGAGACGGCACAGAAGCAGAAGCCCCTCATTAGTGAGTGAAACACACACACAGCGGACACAGCAGACACTGCAGACACTCTCAGCCGTGTGAGGCAAGTGGCAAGTGGCAAGAGAGAGGCATCACATCGTTATGGACTCACCTACACCGCCAATTGTCATCGACGATTCAAACGGTTCAGCAATGGATGCCTGTTTCACGGCATTCGACAAGGATGGGTATGTACATGTTCGCCATTGGGGCATAGCCCTTTAAATTACATCCCAAATACAACTAAAAACCAATCGAATATTCATCTGTGTGCAAACCGCCCTTTGGGGCTTCTCTTTGGGCATAATTAAATCAACAAATAATCGAATATTCATCAGTGGAAATGGTACCTGTCCCTTATTCATGAATTATTCTTTTAAATTATATAATTCAACAAAATGGAACTTTGTGTTTGTGTGCAAAATTATATAATTACCTTTATAATAATATAAAATATTATTTTGCAGCCAACCGCAAAGTAAATGATTATTAACAAAATATGCAGCGAAAATTTATATAAATAAATTATTCAAAAAATGCAGCAACAAGATCCCAAATAAAACATTCAGAAAAATGCAATAACTACCTAAATAAAAAAAAACAATAATTTTGTGAAAATATTCCGTGTTAAAACAAAATAAATGCCCCTGAAATAAAGCGAATTAACGCACTTCACTCTCCGCTCGGTGTTTTAGAGTGTTTTGCAACCACAGAAACCGCAGAAAAAAAAATGTAAATTCATTTGATTAAAACTCCAAAAGGGAGGTTGTGGAACCAGAGAGCCATAACCATAACCAGAACCAACTCGACTATAAATGGACATAAATTAGTTCTAATTGACATTTTAAAATGTTTTACAAACAGCAAATCAATAAATGCAAATGTGGGAAATAATAAATAAAAGAGGAAAATCGGAAAAAATGTGATAAAAAATGAAAGTTTCGACAAGAAAAATGTAAAATTTGTAAATTGTTGAAATTGTGAGAAAAAAATTAAAGTTACATATTTCAGCAAAATTAAGAAATTATAGAGAATTGTTAAGCGGAGAAGAAATTGTGAAAAAAAAACCCTTCAGGATGGTTTCCAAATGTTGCTTAGCTTCATTTCAGTCTCTTCACGAAACACAAAAGACATAATTAGCTAATAAATCTGAAAGTATTCTTCAACTTACACACACCCTTACGCCCTCTCCCATTAATTACTTAAAACTTTCTGTTAACCTTTTGAACTCTTATCTCAAATGTTTTCCCTTTTCTCTTTGCTTTCCAACGACAGCGATGACCGCCTGAATCTCACTGAATTTTCGGTAATCTGCCGCGCGCTGTTCCGCAACGACAAGGGACACATCTACGATGTGCCGCCGGAACGGCTCGAGCAGATATTCGCTGTGTTCGACACGAATGCGGATGGGCATATCGATAGGGAGGAGTTTAAATTCTGTTGGAATCAATGGATAAAAACGGTAAGCTGCCCGCTCCCGCTCCCACTCCCTTTCCCTTTCCCTTTGCCTTTCTTTTTTTTTGTACCTCTTTTATGCCCTTTGCTGTATACCCTTTTTGTTGTGTTATCTTCTCTCTTCTGATGGCAGTGCAACCTAACTCTTTCCTGGCATACTCGTATATAGTGGCTTCATCTTTTGTATGCTTTCTGTTCCTAGATCTCTGTTTCCATCTCCTGCTCTCACTGCCCATCTTAGAGTTCCAGCGCTCTTCCCGCTTTCTGTTCTCTATCTCCCTTGCCGCTTTCTGTTCCCCAATAACTGCCACTGGTCTATGTTCTGTTATCTCCTGTCCCATCTCTCCTTGCTCCTGCCCCTCCGCTCATTTCCTGCTCCGCCCTACAATCTTTTTACACTATTTACGCATTCTTGTTGTTGCGGCTAACGTTTTTGGCTGTGATTATTCAGTGATTCATATCCGGGGACTCGTAAAATCATAAAAAATGTGATAATAAAATATTTGTCAACATGTTTCCCGGCAGCCACACCACATACCACACCCCACCCCACCCACCCACACACGCACGTACACGGGGACACACACACAAACGAACAGCGTGAGTGGTATACGAGGGGGGTGGCACCGCACTCACATGGGGCTAAAATTTTGCAATCAAAGTGGCCGAGTACTCGGATTGTGTGTGTAATTCAATCCTGATCAGAGGCGGCTTTTCCCCCTACCGCTTTGCTGCGGGAGGCGATTGGGGGGGTGGTGTGCAAAATGTCGCTTACAGCGAATGTCACACGTCATGGGGGGATTGCTTTCATCATCATTTCCATTTCCATTCGCATTCCCATTCCCATTCCAGCATTTCCATTCCGCATTTCGTGTTTGGCATCCACATCATCATCGTCGTCAGGGCGGCTGGCGGCTGCCAGTGCCATTGCCATTGCGACTGCTACTTCGTGACAGACAGGCCAGTGGCAGCAATATCAGCAGCCGTGGCTGTGGCTGTGGCAGAGGCAGCAGCGTATGCAAATGTGATAATCTGATGCCCGGGACCGCTGCTTCTGCTGCTGCTGCCACAAATTTCCCACTCAAACCCAAAACACACGCTGGCCAGACGCCGCACGTAAAGTGATAAAAATGCGTGACAAATAAAATGCCACAGAGCTCGGCAAAGAGGGGAAGGCAAAAATATGTTTGGAAAGCGGGAAAATATCGGGTGGGCAGGAAAGGCAACAAACAATATGCTATGCTGGAAAGTGTGAGGAGCGCCGTGCTGAGACTGCATTCAAGAGTTCTTTGGATATTAAAAAAAAGTCAAAGGGCAGGCTGGGAAATTTTTCAAATAATTTTATTGTAGTCTATGACTTTTTCCCCACATCTACATTTACATCTCCATTTCCATTTCCAGCTGACTTTCTGGCTTCTTTCATGCCTTCCTTTTTTTGTTTGCCTCATACAACTTTGTTCTGCCACAGTCACTGCCATAAAATTGCGTACGTGATGGGGGGGGACAAAAATTTGCCGAAGAACTTCTTTATTTGTTGGGGCTTCTGCGTTCTGCAGGCCTGGCCCAGGACTTGGACAACTTTAAGCTACTTGAAACCGTAGCTAACTTTTCCATTTCCATTTGTAAGAAATCAAAGTTTATTAGGGGAATGGAAAATGTCTATATTTAGGTTTTTATTTGTGCAAAAAGTTGTAGATTGAAGGACTTAAAATACTTGAAAGGCTTTTCAATGCATCAAATAAATGTATAATATTGGAAATCTTTGATTTTGGGGCACATCTTTTAATTTTTGGCTGAATGATTTCACTTTGAAATATCTCTGAAAAATTACAAAATATTTTTGGGAATTTATTTAACATACAGACCTTGAAATATAAAAATATATTAACAGATTCCCCTATAAAAATTATTTATGATTAAAATCCTGTTAAACAAAATTTACTTATATTCTGTAAAACCATTTCCCTCCGAACTTCGTTGGGCAAACCATCCTTATTGATCCCATTTGTAATACAAAGATGTCAACTTTAATAACCTCCTCCCCACAGCCCTGCCCATTACTTTCTTTTGATTTTTTCCCATACAAAATTATTACGTATACGCACTGTGTGTGTGTGTGTGCTGACTGCCTGTTGAGCCGATTTTCCCCGACTCTCACGTCTGTCACACGCGACAAATTATTTCACGAAACGAGCAAAAAATAATAATAATTTTTGTTCTTCTTCATGCACATACATACATATATCTGATATGCCATTTACCCCGCCCACAGAAACACACCCAGCCACACCACCCACCCACCCCCTCAGCGACTGCCCTCAAATTGTGTAATATTGTATAAAAAATTTATTAACGCATAAAAAACGAACGCAAGCGACAGCACAGGATGCGAATGAAAATCTTCCCGGCAGCTGATATTGTAATAACGGGCAACACTTAAAAAAATGACAGCCCCACCCACCGCCTGTCGCAGTTTTTCGACCAAAAAAAAAAAAAGAGAAGAAGAAAAAAAAGGAGAAAATGCTGCCTGCCATGCCCATAAAATTGACTTTTGTTTGTATTTCCGCATGAATTGCATAAATGGTAATTTTGCAGTTTAATGTTTGCGTGGAAACGAGAGGAAAAACAAGCCCCGAAAAATTTGCATAATAAACAAATCAACTGATAGACGAGAGAGAGAGAATGGGAGAGCGGGAGAGCTGATGCAAAAGTAGGGGAGGTTGGGGGGCGCTTGGCGCTTAGAATTATGTGGATGGAAGTTTTTGGCAGAGGAGACACGAAAGACAGACAGCCAGACGTATGACTGTGTGTGGAAATTAAATAAACGCATAAATAGAACATTAACGCCATAAATCATTTTCATTTGGTGGCTGCTATTGCGGCTCCTGTCTACATATATATCTATATATATATATATATCTCCTTCAACTATGTCTGTATCTGTATCTGTACATTGCACATTCTATTGCCCCTCCATTTCGATTGAAGTGTGTTCGACGGGAAACGGAAATGGAAATGAAAGGCAAATTTATGGAAATAATAATAATAACCGAAAGCAAAATGTCTGTCTGTCTGTCTGTCTGTCTGGCCCAATGATTTCCGCGCGTGTCCAGAATTTCTGTTTCAATGAATTCACCCCATGGCCACCTCCCCCGTCTCGAAAAAAGGTAAAATTTTGATTTATAAACATAATTCAATATGACGCGGGGGCAGCCGCCACCACTTGATGTTTTTATTGTGTGTGTATATTTTTGGAAAATGCTTAATTTATGTGCTTAAATGTGCAGAAAATGCACAGGCCATCTACTACAGTGGGGACTCCAACTCTGAGTGCTTCAGTGGTTTTACATTTTCCACAGAGAAACAGGAACAGAGAGAGAGTGAGAGGGAGATGGAGAGGGAGAGGGAGAGAGGGAGATTGTGTCCTGAGGCGTGAAATGCTGCGGTCTCAGTGAACGTTTTTTGATGAGGGACAGCGACCAACAGCAACCTTCAGACAGTGTCCTGCGGCTGGCTGCTGGCTGCCCTTTTCTATATAATAACATATACCTAAATAATTAATTGACAAAAGGTACACAAGGCAAGGCAGGCACACGTTAATAAACCTCTCTCTTAGCTTGCTCCTTTGCTTTTTTCAGGGGGGTTGGCACTTTATTTAATGCGAATCTATTTCTTTTGTTCTGCAACTTTTGTCCTTCACTCAATTGACTCAAAGAGGGAGAGACTCCTTTCTCCTCTTCTGCTTGTTGTGGGTTTTCCTTTTTTTCTTTTCGTAAATATTTCATTTTGTTTAAACTGCTTTTATTTCGTGTATAATAAATTTATGGCCTCCTCCACACCTGGGAGGTCGAGGTGGTCCCTTTATGGCAGCACAGTGTGTGTGTGTGTGTGTGGCATGCCACATATATCATAACAGGCATGGGGCACATCATCATATAGTTCATTGAACCTACTCCCTACTCCCTGCTGGCTGCCACCGCGCTCTCAAAAATCCAGCAACTGCTTTAAGAGTCTTACAATGTCTACCGTTAATCTTGCCACAGATATATGTGGCACATATACTACGCTATATATCTATATGTATGTGTGTGTGTGTGTGCCTCTTTATAATGTCTTCATTTCATGAGGCATTTTTTTTTTGCTTTGTTACGCACCAACACCGCGTGGCAGCGCGCAGAAAGATGAGTGGGGCAGCAGCAGCAGCAGCAGCAGAGGCAGGGGAAGGGGCAGGGAGGAGTGCCAAAAAGTCTTCGCCCATGCAACTTCTCTGCTCAGCAAGCGGAAAATAATATCTTGCTATAAATTTCGCTTAGTTTTTCCCTTCTCCACAGCTTCCCTCCTCCTGCTCCTGCTGCTGTAAGCTTAATTTCCACTGACCCATCTCTGGGCTGTGGCTCTCTCTGGCTTTTCCCCAGACAGCAGCCAGCAGCCAGCAGCCGGCCTCACCTCTCGACTGTCGACTGATGAAAGTTTAACGACCAAAGTTGACACGCTGTGGCGATTATTTAGAAAGTTAATGACTTATAACATACCTCCCAAAAAAAAAAAGTACGGAAAAAAAGTCAACGGAAATGAACAGAAAGTAGAGGAAGCACCCGACAACGAGTGAGAGAAAAATGGGAGAAGAATGTGCGAGGTGGCTGTGGATTAGCAGTGGAAGGAGGCAGAAGACTGAGCAGAGGGAAGCAGAGGGAAGTCCCAAAAGCAAGAGCAGCAGAGGACAGAAGTCGGAGGCGAGTGTGAGCGAAAAATGAAAGGTGGGTAGCCCCAGAATGAGAGTTTTCCCACCGAAAGATTCATTGATTTACTGACCAACCATTTCGGAGCGTTGGTTTTAGCTTGATTGGACGTTTATTGAAAAATGATTTGCCATTTCTTAGGCTCTTTTTCTCTCTCTCTCTCTCTCTCAGTCTTTCTTTCTCCTAGAGTAGGTAGAAAAATTGTTAGAAAATGTTAGGTTAACTATGGGTCCAGACGCCGCCACGAATTTCTTACCAAATTTACATTTGACGTAAATTGACCAAAAATTTCGTTTCTACGGCCATTTGTTTTGCGAGGAAATTCCTGCTGCTGCTTGAGACATATTTTATTCGCGGAAAGTGGAGCAGAGACAAGGCAGCATTTTCATTGAAATTGTTTGCAATGTTGGGAAAGATAAATCGAGTCGATTAGCGAGTTCTGCGACTATTTTAAGTGCGAGTATATATTAGTGTGGCTCTAGTTAGCCGATTGTGTTGGTTTTTTTTTGGTATTTATATAGTTAATGATTAGATCCCCGCGTATACCCCATAAATAATAGAGGCATGGCATTATTTCTCGCATATTTACTGCCACAAATGGCTCACTCTTAGAGCCTAGGTACACTCCTGTCAGAGCAAAAGCAAAAGCAAACCCCAAACAAAGTTGAATGAGCCCCACAGAGATCCAAGCACAGAGATCCCAAGTACTGTCAGAGGCAGACACAGACACACAGAGGAGTGCGAGTGGCAGCCAGCAGAAGTATGCCAAAGAACCTTTTGAAACTTTCGACTTAACAGAAATCAACTCAACAGCAAAACAATTTCCATATTGCCCATAAGTTCTGCCCCCTCCCTCACTCACCGCTCTTCGACAAGTTTTCCCTCGGCAAGTTTTCCACGCTTATTTATAGTTGGGTTTTCATTTCTTTTGGCGGCTGTGCTGCAATTTCCACCTTTCGAAAAGGGTCTATCGAGTCTGTGTCGAGCCTGTGTTCTGGCAGCCGCATAAATTGTATAATGTAATTTTCCAGGCAACTGTCAGAGCCAGGACACAGAACCCTGCCTGCCTGCCTGTCCCCCTTCTATGCATCCAACAAATCCACAAAACTGTCAGGACGCTGAGGACTGTCTGTGTGTCTGCCTATGCCAAAATATATACGTATCCATGGTATTGGAGATTGCTAGAGATTGGGGGAAGGAGAGAGACGAGTCGAGTCGAGCCGAGTCTCTGCTCTACTCTGCTGTCTGCTGCCACCAACTTATGCAACAATTTCAGAACGGAAATTGCTTTAGCACCTGCCCCACATGTCTCCTCCTGCCACATTGCCGCCACTGCCCTTGCCACTGCCACTGCGACTGCCACTGCCACACATGTGGGTGTGTCTCGGGCCGGAGTCTCGGCCGGGGTCTCGGTGTCTCGGCGGGGTTTTGGGTCTCGAGCCACGTTTGCCTTTTTGGCACATACTTCAATACGAAGTTGAATTTCATTTTCGATTCGTCGTGGGATCGGTCGCCTCTCTCTCGCGTCGTCACTTTGCAACTTTTTTTTGGCATTCGCCGAACACTTTGACAGTTTGTCTGCCTCGCCAGGCACACACACACACACACATGGGGCACAGGCACGAAGCAAATTTATTTGCCAAGACTGAAAAACTTATTTCCTATGGCTTCGGCTTCGTCTTCGTCTCCTACGGCTACTTCTTTTGGCCTTTGTTTTTCGGGTTGAAAGTGTAATTTGAATTTAAGATTTCTTTGCGGTTGCACAGAAAGGTGCCAGTGCCAGTTGCCAGTTGCCAGTCAGCCAGAACCTTTCTCTATCCCTTTCGCTATCTCTGCCCCAGCAGAGAAAACCAGCAACCAAAAGTGTGGTCGTTGTGGTTGCCACCAAGAACATACACAAATATACACACACACACACACACTCCTCGTACTGCTTCAATAATTAATTTAAGTGTAACACATTTTCTGGGAATTTTCTGGGCTTTCCTCGCCCCCCCCCGAAACTTGATTTTCTCGTGCAATTTCATCAAAGATTCATAGTTTCAACTTTAAATTAAGATGTTGATCTTAAGAGGTGGAGGAAACAAAGGCCCAGAGGTCAAGGAAGGCTGAGATTGAGGCTGAGGCTGAGACTGAGGCGCGTGTTAATTTGCCAAAGTTTTCACTGGCAGCCCCCCAAAACAACGATGATGTTAAATGATGGGCAGGCATAGCTCTGGGGGTTTTATGGGTTCCATCACATTCACAGCAGATGCCTCATAATTGGATGGACCCCAAAACCACCTCACCCCTGATTTCTTGAGGTGAAAGCCAGAAAACTTGATGTGCAAATTGCGGCCACCCCTGCTCTGGCTCTGGGCTCTGGGCTCTGGCATGGAGCAGCATTTTGTGGCTTTTCTTATGTGTTTGCCCCAAGTTCTAGACTCCCACTCCCCCCAGCCACTTCTAATTTGAATGTGTGTCTGTGTCTTAAATGGAAGTGCGTGTAGATTGCACTTTGCATTAGATAGTTTTGATTTTGATTTTGATTTTGATTTGTGGACGAAGCGCCTCGGGGTTTCCGAATATTGGTTAGGTTAGACTTCAACAACAGTCTGAAGTTTCAAGTTTCAAGTTTTAAGGCAAAACCAAAGGATTTTGAATGTTTGTAGTGGAGTTCAGAGTTTGATGAGAGCGAAAGAGAGAACATGACACAAGATTTGAGGCCACAAAATATTCCAGAACCTGAAGCTACGATAGCTGAGCGTAGATGTCAGTTGCAGCGACTTGAATGCAGCAGAAAGTTGCATGGAAAGTGAGTTAATATGAGGCATCATCATATATCACAGACAAAACTCTTACCCCTGAGCTATCATCATGGTATTAGCCCTGAGAGAGAGAGAGAGATCCCTTAATGCGTCCCTCCACATGCCACATACCTGGCTGCAGTTCATCTCCATTTCTCTCTGCCTATCCGTTATTCTTCTGGCTGTCTTCTGGCACTGTCTTCGCTCTAATTCCTCTCCTCTGCTGTCTATCCACTATCCTAAGCATTTAATCTTCCCGTAGGACTCCCTGAACACAAATTACCCAACACTTCCTTTCACTTACTCCGCCGTAGAGATGTTCAGATTTCAGCCACACACACACACAACACGTCGTCTGGCTGGTTGGCTGGTGGGAAACTTTGGCTAAATTGATACATTAACTACCTTGATCCGGCTATTATCTTGGCTGCACTATCCTCTATCCTGCCACGCTGCCATGCTGCATCCTGCTGCTGCTGCTGCTGTTGCTGCTGCCTGGAAAACTATTCTCAAAATGTTGAGAATGTTCGCTATGTAAATGTAAATCACTTCCTTCGGGCGGGGTCTCGCCGGCATCCTAAAGCGGTTGCATATCCCAACCCAACCCATCCTATCCCATCCGATCCCAGTGGCAACTGTGCGACTGGGTGATAAATCATCAACTGCTTAAGCGGGTGTCTGCCCTGTGCCACAGGCTGTTGTTGCTGCTGCTGCTCTTGCTGCGTCGTGGAGAGGTGCACTCTGCCTCTACCTCTGCTGGTGCCTGTGCCTGCAGCTCTCACGTTGCCACCGCTTTAAGGCATTTAGCTGGATGACATATTTTAAATGCCCGCCAGACGAAACAACACAAATCAAAAGGAGCAGCAGCAGCAGCAGGAGCTACTCCTGCAGGAGCAGCAGTGGCTCCCTCCTGCATCTCTCTTCCGCTCTGTACCCTCTCTGGTTGTCTGCGCCCATAGATCATAATCATTCATAATCAGCGTGCACATAAATAACAAATTAAAAGCGCTTCACTAATTTTAAATATGCTCGAACATAATCAGCTTACTGTGAGCCACAGACGCCACACAGCCAGCAGCTCCCCTGCCACACAGTCATCGAGTGCTGGGGAGGATGCGTCTGCGTCTGAGGCCTCTCGTTCGGCTTTGGCACTGGCACTGCCACTGGCACTGCTACTGCTGATGATGCTGCTCCACCTCCTCCTCCTGCTCCTCCTGCTTCTCCTGCTCCTCCTGCTCTCCTGCTGCTGCCAGTCAAAAGATAGCAATGACAACCTAACGAGCTGCTGCTGCTCCTCCTCGTGTGTCTCGTGTGTGTCTCGCGTGTGGCTGTCTGTCTGTTGTGGCTGTTGCTATATCTTTTGGCTGTGTCTGTGATAGATATTCAGATGCTCTATGCGCTAGAGGATATGCTGCATATCTAGTGGAGTTTGACAGCTGCTCCACCAGCTGCTCAAAGCGTAATTCCAAGTAAAAATTCTACTCGAATTCCCTTTTGGTGCCACTTCCCCCATGCAGCGCATTCTCCATTCGTTATGCTAATCCTAGAAACCTTTTCAGAACTTTCGTTTTTTCTTATTTTCTTCGTTTTTTGACTGGCTTTTACTTCATTTAAAACGCATTTATAACGCAGAGCGGCGTTAGCGAAAAAAAAAAAAAAAACGAAAAACTCATCAGCAGACACACACAGGCACAGACACACCCTCTAATACACACACTAATGCAGTGTCCTGACCCCCTCTCCCTCTCCCCATCATATATGTATACAAATTTTCTTTTTAGCTTTTTATGTTTGTGGGGTGCCCGCCCGCCCCCCGTACACTCCGTACTTTTGGGGTATTCATCCCATGGATATGGTCCCTTTCGCCCGCCGTCATCTCTGGGTTCATATACAATTTTTCTTACAATTTTCTTTCATTTTCTGTTGTTGCTTTTCACGTACTTTTCTTCCTTTTCGTTTTTTTTTTGTATTTTTTATTTTTTGGCTGGTTTGGCCTGTCCTGGCCTGGCCTCTTGCTCTAACCTTTTATGCCTGTCTCGCTCGTTTTCCCCGTGATGCTTATGTCTCGCTCTTTCCTTTTTCTGGCAGATTGTGCGACCGGTGAACGCGTTCCTCATTGTTGATGTACAAAATGATTTTATAAGTGGTTCCTTGGATATAAGTAATTGCAGTGCACAGCAGCAAGGACATGAGGTGAGTGGGGAGATAACGGGGGAGAAGAAGACGCCACGAGTTCCAGGAGTCGCGATTGGGGAGTGGGGAGTGGCAAGTGCGAGTCCTGGCAGCTACGTGGCCAGCAGCAGCTCCGGCTTATCCTTCGCGGGCCTTCCAGGGTCGGGAAGGACATAAAATAAAATAAAATAAAGCAAAGGCAGAAAAAAAACGTAACAAGAAATGAAAATGAAGGACCCAGGGCGGACCCACGAGATGAGAGGCAAAGTCATTGCCGCAGCAGCAGCAGCAGCAGCGGCAGCAGCAGCATCCGAGATGATGGAGAGGATAAGGGATAAGGCAGGACTCCTCTGCATGTCAGACCTCAATACCAGATATTGCGGCCACGAGCAGACGACGATGTGGATGGTATGCGATGGCATGGGCTGGGCTGGGCTGGTAGCTCCACCCTTCCTCCTCCTCCTCCTCCTCCTCCACCTCCTCGAGTGCACGGCAAAGCGGAAGCGGATATGCTTTACTTAAGTCGCATCCGCGACTGCGACACACGCCGGATGTCGTCGTCTTCTTCCCATCTGGCAACTGACATTGCCCCTGTGCCGCATGCCGCATGCCCTGTCTCTGTCTCTCTCTCTCTCTGCGGCACATGAAAATTTGTCAAAATTAATAACACGCACTTCCGTCTCGTTGTCGCTTTATGGACTGTGTCTCATGCTCTCTCTCCCGAGAGAGAGAGAGACTCGACTCGAGACGTGAGCCGTGACTTTGCTGCCATTTTGAAGATAATCGAATGACCGCTTTGCCTTTGCCCCCCTGCCTTTCTCTGCCTGCTCTCTGTAGATACTGGAGCCCATTAACAAACTCTTGGATACTGTGGACTTTGATGCCGTTTTCTATTCATTGGACTGGCATCCCAGCGATCATGTTTCATTTATTGATAATGTCAAAATGCGGGCCATGGACGAGTCCTCGGCGGTAAGCGGCAGATTGAAATTCGAAGGGAAGTGCTCCTCCTGTCATTCTGTCGTATCCTTTTCCGTTTTCCCTTTTAGCTTGACGCTGATTCTGCCCAGGTCTTCGATACGGTCATCTTTGCCGGTCCGCCACCCATGAAGCAACGCCTCTGGCCACGTCACTGCGTGCAGGACTCGTGGGGCGCCGAGCTGCACAAGGACCTCAAGGTAGTCGATCACGGCATCAAGGTGTACAAGGGCACCAACCCGGAGGTGGACTCGTACTCTGTTTTCTGGGACAACAAGAAGCTGTCGGACACCACGCTGAATGCCCAGCTGAAGATGAAGGGCGCCACCGATATCTATGTGTGTGGCCTCGCCTACGATGTGTGTGTGGGCGCCACCGCTGTGGATGCCCTTTCGGCTGGCTATCGCACCATATTGATAGACGACTGCTGTCGGGGCACCGATTTCCATGACATTGAGCATACCAAGGAGAAGGTGGTCACCAGCGATGGGGTCATTGTGCACACAGCCGAGGTAAGGCGTATGAAAGGAAATGGAGGATGGAAAATATGTTGTGGGCTCTACAATTTCAAAGTTAGAGTTCTGTCAGTTGGTAGCATCAATTTTCTGGTAATAATTTACCTAAATACCCATTTTCATCATGATTTAGACACGCCATAAAATAAATACCTACACCCCCAAAACAATTCAAAAAAAATATTCAGCTGTCAAATCATTTACCAAAAATATTTTACTGCCTCCTAAAAATTGCTAAAACCTTTCTCTTTATTTTTCCCTTACATTTTCACAGGTCAAGGCCATGGCTGAGGGTCGTGATCGCCGTCCCGAATTGGGCTACAAATTGGCCATGGAGCTGAAAAGTCCCGATTCGGTGCTCTCACAACGCAATGGCTTTAGACCCACTTACTAAACCCTTCCCCACCCCCCAAAGTGGACACAGGTTAAGGAATTGAGCAGCACGCTAATGGCTTATGGCTAATGGTTCATGGACTAAAAGACAAAATAAAAGTTTAAATGGCTTTCAGTGTAGTTTAGTGCGTTTCCAAATAGAATTTAGAATGTAGAAATAAACTCAAAAATCACCTAGGAAGTGCATTAATGGTAGTTAGAATTGTTATCCATATGCAACATATGCAACAAATGCAACAAATGACAAATGCAACAATAAAAGTGCAAATACAACTTCGGACAAACACCAGGAAATTCAAATAAAATTGAATAATGAATTAATCTAAAGGTACGAGTATTAACAATGGAACAGTCTCTCTCTCTAAATAGTGGATATGTAGACCCAAGGCACCTTCTAATACAATACTAAATACCACAATAAATACCACTTAAATGTTGTGCCTGCTGCTGCACTTGTTTCAGATTAAATTACAAATTACTTATGTTTAGATATCATATTATATTTAATTTATATTTGAAGGGAAACGAAAGGATTTGGGTGTGAAAATATTGCATGTACTTAAGGTATAGAATGAAATGGAATTAAATGATTCATAAATATGATAAATAAAACCAAGAAAAGTGAAGATTTATTCAGAGAAAGATGGAGGTTTACTTCATCTATTTCAATATTAATTCCACATCTGCATCAGCCACCTGTAATCTCCCCCCTATCTCCCCGCATAATTCACGTTTTCCTTTCAGCTAATTAAAAATGTCGCAATCAATGTCCATCTGCAGCTCCATCGCATCCCTTTTGTCGTGCTTAGATGCCATCATCTGTCCAAGCCACTCCAGTCTCTGCACTCCACTCCACTCCACAGTTATCCCTCACAGCCTTTGTCTGTCCTGATGGATGAATATTCTTTTCTTTCTTTGTCGGTGCGTGTGCTCCGGCCAGCAAAAAAAAAAACAACTTCAAAACAAACCGTATAAATTTCCCTGGTTCCGAAAAGTGTGGCACAGACTGTTAAACGATTCTCTAGTTATTTTTTCTGATGCTTCTGCTGCTGCTGCTGCTGCTATTCCTGTTTTTGCCAGGAAGCAAACCGAAATAACAATCCATGCAACGTTTAAAAGAAAGTTTTCTGTTTTATGTGTCAGCTACTCGTAGAGAAAAAAAACACACACACAGAAGGCAAAACAGAGAAAAGGGGGGAGAGCTGAGCAGAGCCGAGCAGAGTGCCGCTTCGACTAAAACAAACTTTAAATTTATTAACACCCGCACGAAGAGAGGGCTCTCCTGTCCACTGTACAGGGGGGCGGGGGGCGTGGCTCTGCCATTGTACTGTGAAGTGTAAAAGTGCAAACTTTTTCTATATTTTTTTTGTTTGTTTGTTTTTTTTTTTCGTTTTCCCTTGCAGCATATTTTTTTCCATGTGTCCGAGAGCGAGCGTTTTGGCCAAGTTTTATGGTAAGCACTCCCCTTGGAGCATGGGATTTGGCCTGGCTTTGCCTTACACATACATGTACATATATACATGCATATATGTATGTATGTATGTATGGTAGAGTAGATCGTGGAGGAGTCGTCTCCAAATCGTTTACCTTTTGTGGCGTCGTCTGCCATAGACAATGAACCTTCTGCCTGAATCCCAGACTCCTGGACTCTACACCCGAAAAAAAGAACTTTTGTTCGTCGCTGGCGACGCTGTCGACTGGTTGGGCTGGTGGTGCGGCAGTGCGGCAGTGCGGTGGTTGGCTGTTGATGTGGTGCGGTCATGCCACTGAAATCCACACGCTGCACAGCTGTCAGCGGCAGGAAAAAGATGGTGAGATGGACAAGGAGGGAGTAGGAGGAAAAACCTCGCTCTCTCGCTGATGAAAATTGCTTGCAAGTGGTTTCTGTTTCTGTCTCTGGACCGACTCTGGACTCTGAACGACGGAGTCCCAGTCCCAGTCCCAGGCCTTTTCTGCACATGTAATGGTCTCTCGTTTTGCTTGTAAAACTTTTGGATTATTGTCAGGCACACACACAGTGGTGCTGGGTCTGGGGCTGGCCATTTGCCAAAAGGCCTGGACATGGTAGCATGTGGCATGTGTGGCACGATTTGCGATGTGTCTGTATGTGTGGAAGCGCTTCGTTCGCGTTTTTCCTCTCAACAGCACATTTCTCGCATATTTTTCTCTTCTTCCATCTGCCGGTGCCGCTGCCGGTGCCGCTGCCGCTGCCACTGCGTAGGCGTCGCCATTTTGTCCATGACCTGAAACTGCAATTGCACACACACACACACTCATGTATATCCCTTCTGTGTGTGTGTGTGTGTTGCATGCAGATGAAGCTATGGGAGCCTCAGCCTCAGCTGGCTGGCTGTCTGCTGGCGACTGCTTGACTTGTAGCTTGTACTTGGGCGCTAAGCTGCTTGTTTGTGGTTTGTGGAGCTGCGTGGTGGGCGGGGGCGCCTCCCAGAGAGGGTGGGCCAGGAAGGGAGTTAAGGAAGTGAAGTGCCAAGGGAGTGAGAGAGGAAAGGAGGTAAAAGCAGCAGAGCAGTGGAAGGTGCAGCAGAGGAGTGGAAGTTGCAGCAGTGGAGTAGAAGGTGCGCTGCAGGGGAAGTAGCATGCAGCATGAAGCACACAACATGCAGCATGTACATACGTACATATGTCCGCTGGGTGTTGCACTTGAGATCTTCATCGTGTGCTTTGCAGGGGGCTTAAAGCCTTAAAGGCAACATTAGAATCATTTTGTTAAACAAATATAACTAACCCCCCACCCAACACTGCACCCAAAAAATAGAACGAAAAGCTCTCCATAAACAAAAACTTAAAGTCTCAACAAAAATATATCCACAAGAGAAATGTGAGCCAGATTTGAGGCGTAGCATGCACAAAAGCTAAACACTCTGTGGCAGCTCCTATGGGGCTATGGAGCACAGTGTCCGATTTCATTAAAGATTGCCTATAAACTAAATTTATGCGTAGAAACGACTATAACTTATGTGGAATAGTTCAATTTTCTATTTTGTTTCTTTGAAAGAACTAATTTTGGAGCATTCCTAAACCAGATTTGGATATATATAGTGGCTAGCATTATCTACGAGGGACTTAGAGCGTCTAAAAAATAAATTTGTCCACCAATAAAACTCTCTTCTCTGGCGGAAGGAAACGAAATAATTATAGGAGACTTTATAGGAGACTGTTAGAGCATACTTTTTTTTTCCATCCAAGAACCCTCTACCAAAAGTAACTTTTAGCACTCATAAAAATCCAATAAAAATCCCGAAACAACTCCAGGCGGTATGCAGAGGAAATATTGTCTTAGATGAAAATTCTACGAAATACGCTTGCACTTTTGCCCCACTTGCACTACTGTTGTCATGGAATGGAAAAGTCAGCAGTGCCACTAAAATAACAACAAAAACAATTATAAGACACACAACAACAGCAGCAGCAGCAGCAGCAGCAACTATTACGCCCAACTATGAAGGCGGGCTGTCCCCCTCACCCCGTTTGCTGCTTTCTGCCGCTGGATTTGAGAGGCGGAGGGAAATTAGTTTTGCCAGTGCAAAAACCTTATTGAAATTATAATTTATTTATTAGCAGTAGAGTGCAGTGCAACCCACCGGAAGGGGGGGTGGGGTGTGGGTGTGGCCGTGGAAATGAACTCGAAAATGTCAAACCAATTTGCTGTTGGTAAATTTGGTTCGTTGATTAGATTGTGGGTTGGAGGGTTATGGGGGGGCTATGCGGATGCGGATGCCATGCCATGGCCAAAAATAAAAATAAATACAAAAAAAAAACTTTTAATTATGAAAACTGCAAAAATGTTGCTGTTGCTGCTTGCTGCTGCTGCTGCTTGTAATTAAATTTTGATGGCCAGGTAAATGGAAGTTTTTCCAAAACGGATGGAGGGTAAGGCGAGGCAGAATCTTGGTAAATGATGGCAGAATATTCCCAACTGATTTAGCAGCACAAAAATGTGTAGCTGCTTGCAGCAGCAGCTGCAGGAAGGAGCTTCCTGCCTTCGTGCGTCATACGCTTCGTATGCGCAATGTGGCTTTTGCCTGCCTGCCTGCCTTTGTGTTTTTCCGTGAGGTTTCCTTGCAGTCAACAGGAAGTTGTCCTGGCAACACGCTCTCCCCTCTTCCTACTCCCCGGCCAGCGCTCGCTGCGTTCTTTGCAAATGTTAATTTTAATGCAATGAAATGAGTTTTCCCCACGAGAGATGGAAAGTTTTTTGGCTCTTCTTGTGACTTGTGGCAGGATGTGATTATGAGGGTGAAAAATCCCCAACACTCGCCACATATGTATGTGTCGTGCGTCTTGTGGCAAATAAAATGCTTTAGTGATTTGCCAAAAGTTTTGTCATTAAGGACACTTGCTGTTGCAGGCCAGACCCAGTCCCAGGCCCAGTCCCAGGCCCAGGCCCAGGCCCAGTCCCAGGCACTTCATCACGCATCACACACATTTATGGGCGCTTGATTACAGTTTTAGAATTTTCCATAGAATTTTTACATGGAATATTTTGCACGATGCAGAGTCGCTCCTCTATCCTCTATCTGCCTGCCAGTTTATTTGATTATTTGCTAGATTGTCGTCGCATAAATGACAGCCTGTGTAAATTTGTCAGACAGTTTTATTGGAAAACATTTCGAACATTTCCACATTGCACACACATTTCCACACAGCATTCGCTAATGCTTCGCATGTGTGTGTGTGTGTGTGTGTGTGTGTGTGTGTATGTGAGTGGCATGAAAATCAATCAAATGTATAAATGATTTAATTGTTTGAACATCCGATAATTGCACAAAGTCGTTGCTCAGTCGAGGGGAAGAAGTTTCCAGCGACCAAGAGAGAGAGAGATAGAGAGAGAGAGAGAGAGAGAGAGAGAGAGAGAGAGAGAGAGAGAGGGAGAGGGAGCGTGAGAGAAGACTAATGAATCCATGTCCTGTAAATGGCCCCTGGTAATGCCACTGAAATGCCCCTGAAATGCCACTGAAATGCGTGTGCGTGGCTTGCGTGCTTCTTTGCCAATCATCCATTATCCATTAGCCTTCACAAAAAGGCAGCAAAAGGAAAGAGCAGCCAGTCGCAGCGTTTAAGTGGAGGCACACGCTCATCGACATTTAGATACCTCGCAACTTAACGCTGTGAAAAGGATCTAAAGGAATCGCCAATCGAAAGTTTCACTAGAAGATGAAGTATGAAGAGTCCATTCTTTGCTGCTTAACCACACTGGGAGAGAGATTCAT